ACATTTATGAGATCCTATGAGGTGGCAATGAAGGAAGCAAAGAAAGAATTTTATGCTGCCTCTATCACATCCAGTAGCTCTTGCCCAGCACAATTATTTAGGGTAATTAGATCTCTAACATCCCTTTCTGAGGGATCTCAAAAGGTTAGTAATTTGGAAATTAGCTGTGAGGCTTTTGCAAGTTTTTTGTGGATAAAATCTTGTCACTCTGCCAGGAACTGCTGACCAATATTGATGCAGTAAGAGAACTGGAGGCCCCTTGGCCGTCTTCAGGTCCAATATTGGATCAATTCAGCCTGCTCTCCGGGGACAATGTTGATAGAATCCTGGGTGCTCTGAAGCTGACCACTTGCCTCCATCATGGTTGGTTAAAGCCAGCAGAGATGGAATATGGGCCCCCCGGCAGACACAATAAATCTGTCCCTGAGTTTCCGTGGAGTTTAAAGGAGGCAATGGCATGACCACTCTTAAAGAAACCATCACTGGATCCTATGGATCCAGCCAGCTACTGCCCAGTATCACATCTTTCATTCCTGGGCAAGGTAGTTAAGAAAGCAGTGGCAGAACAGCTCCAGGGTTTCCAAGAGGACGCATCGATACTGGACCCATTCCAGTCCAGTTTCTGTCCTGGTCATAGGACAGAAATAGCATTGGTCGCTCTCATAGACAGTCTCCGCAGACATCTGGATTGAGGTGGGTCAGTGCTGCTGTTGTTACTCGATCTGTCAGCAGCATTTGACACAGTTGACTATGATTTGTTGATCCAGTGCCCTGCTGACATGGGAATTCAGGGGACAGCCTTTAAGTGGTTTGTCTCCTTTTTCCAAGGTTGGGGAAAGAGGGTGGTGCTAGGGGAGAGTTTCACCATGACACCCATTGGTGTGTGGTGTTCCCCAAGGGGCTATTCTCTCCCCAATGTTGTTTAACATCTCTATGCGTCCCCTCACCCAGCTGGTACATAGTTTCGGGCTGGGTTGTCACCAGTAGGTGATGACACTCAGCTATATCTGTTGATGGGCAGATGGACAATGCCCCCAAAAATCTGGGAAGGGAATTGGAAGCAGTGGCTGGATGGTTGAAGCAGAGCTGGCTGAAATTAAATCCATCAAAGACAGAGGTTCTGTGGCTGAAGAGGGGAGTCTTGGGATTGGGTATCCAACTCCTGACTCGATCCAGTTTTATATGGAATTGTGATGGCCAATGGCCACATACAATAAACTTTATTCTGATTCTGACTCCTGACTCTGGACAATGCTCCTTTAACACTGGTACCAATGGTGAAGCATCTAGGTGTGATTTGGTGGAGGCCTAGATCACAAATGTGGCCAGGCTGCCATTTTCCCACCTATGCCAAGTCTAGCAATTGGCACCCTTCCTATCTCACCCTGACCTAGCCCAGTGATCCATGCAATGGTCACCTCCAGACTGGATTACTGTAGCTTGTTCAACCTAGGGCTACCCTTGAGGCTGACCCAGAAACTTCATCTGGTCCAGAATGTGGTAGCGTGAGTCCTTACAGGAACTCCTATTAGAGCCCATATTCCAACTGGTGGTCTGCCAGCTGCACTGGCTCCAGATTGAATACCGGATCAGGTTCAAGGTGTTTCGTTTTGACCTTTAAAGCTCTTCACGGTCTTGGACCAACATATCTTCAGGACTGTCTCTCTTGGCATATCCTCCAAAGCTCTCTGAATAACACCCTGGTAATCCTGTGACCAAGGAGTATTTGCCTGGCTTCAACTAGAGCCAAAGCCTTCTCAGCTATGGCTTCAGCTTGGTGGAATGCACTTTCAAGTGAGATCCGGGCCCTTTGGGACTTGATACAGTTCCACAGGGCCTGTAAAACAGCAATGCACCACCAAGCATATGGGTGAGGTTAGGAGAATTCCCACCTATACAGATTTTCCTGCCTTTTCTTCCCCCTTTCCTTCCCCTGGGGCAGTGCCATAGCATTATTATGTGCCATCTGATATTGTAAATGTCTGGAATTTTTAATTTGATATGTTTTTAACTATGTTATGATTAGTTTATCACATGTGACCAATGTTCCCTCTAAGCTGTGGAGTCTTGTGAGCAAAAAATCTACTTTGTGAGCTACTGACATTGAAGTTGTGAGCACTGTTCCCTCTAAGCTGAGTTAGTGTGAGCCAGCTCAGTTTTTTTAGCCTTCAGCTTACAAATTTTTGTTTTAGCTCAGGAAGGAGGACTACAGAGCAAACCAATTTAATGCAGTAGCCAAATGGCTCGCTCGCTTAATGCCAGTAGCTTACCAAGTAGAATTTTTGCTCACATGACTCCACAGCTTAGAGGGAACATCGGTTGTGAGTGAACAATTTGGCTGCTGCATAAATTAGTTTGCTCTGGAGCCATCCTTCCTGAGCGAAGACAAAAAATGTGTGAGCCAGAGGCTAACAAACTGTGAGCTAGCTCACACTAACTCAGTTTAGAGGAACACTGGTTGTGACCTGCTATGATCCCCATGATAGTGGGGAAGAGTGGGATATAAATAGAAGAAATATATAAATAAATAGCTTGATGTTAGGAGGGCATTGCTGTTTTTATTTAAACTGTACAAAATAATTCAGAAATGACAGGAATCTGTTCATATGCTTTAAGGGCCATAATAAAGGCAAAGCTGCTTTGGTCCAAACACTTTCTAGGTAGGTGGTCTCAGCCATAAGGTTGGCCTACGCAGAACTAAATGTTCCATTGCATTGAGGGCTCATTCCACCCTGGCACTGGAAGACATCTGCAAAGCGGTGACCTGGTCTACACCTTCAACATTCATTAAACGCTATTCCACGGACATAGATTCCAGGAGTGAGGCTGCTGTGAGAAAGCCAGTGCTTCAATCAGTTTTTGCTGACCAGCCCACACCCACTTCCTTCACCAGATGAGCTTGCCATTTGCCCATGTGGGACTGCACAGAAGTCATGATGATGAAAACAAGGCTGCATTCACCTGCAACCTTTGTTCATCCAGTGGTCTCCTGTGCAGGCACACATCCCTCCTTCCTTTCCCCGCTGCGGGCTGCTCCGCGGTGGTCCTTGGCGCCTCACGGCAGCGAAGGGAGAATGGAGGGAAGATTTGTCTGTCACATGACCATTTGGGCAGGAAAAGCAGGGCTTGAGACTGTGGGGCAGGGGAGTGCTAGGCTCTGGAAAATTCTAAATCCTTTGGGAGGTCGTTCCTCCGTGACCTGGAGTTGCGCAGTCCCATGTGTGCCTGCACAGAAGACTACTTGATAAACAGCAGTTGCAGGTAAGTGCAGCCTTGCTTTGTCTGGGATACACATGGAGTTCCCAAGCCTGATGATTCATCATGACAAGAGCAGGCAGACAGCTGGCAGAAGGAGGCTGCACGGTGCCAATTTGTGTTGGTAGGCATAGAAGCTCCACTGGCAGCAGAGCCACACCACTAGCAGTGCCATCCTGAGCAGATGGACACCCTGCTAAGTGTGTTGAAGTCAGTGCGCTGAGAAGAATGTAACTGTTTAGGATGACATTGTAAGGGAGCCATCGCAACCGTGATGTGTCCCTGTACCCTAGTGCCATCATCTGGTCATCCCCAACAGTGAAAGAAAAGTTTGTGTCTGGTGCCCTGGCAGCTAAGATGTAGGTGGTGATTGGACAATGGTCAGGGTGAAAGTTATGCATGCAGCCCAGAGTTTAAAGGTTGGCTACAAAGGACTGAGGAAGATTTGCCTTCAGATCTCTTTAGAAGTATGGTAATATGAAGAGTTGAAACCCTTCCCTTCTTCCCTGAGTTCATATAGCTTCAGGGCCACATGGACACACATGGACACACACACTGAGCATGTAGATACCCAAATCCAATAGTTAATTCAACTCTGATCTCCAGAATTCAGTACAAAACACCTGGTCTTGGGAAGGATGTAGAAGATGTCAAATGGTAAATGAATCTTGCTGATTGCAAAAAGGTTTTGGAAGAGGAATCCAACTGATTCTTTACACCTAGTTACTGGAAGCAGAATTTGTTTGAATCAAAAAGGACTGAGGGCTTCTGGGAAGGGGTTTATTCTATATCCTCCTCCTACCTTTTGTTAGGCATTCTTTCAAAATTCTCATCCATTCCCCCCCCTGGTTTTTGGCATTCTGACTTATCTGGTCTTGTTTTGATGCAGAACTGATACATAAAGAATCCTCCCATTTTGATTCCCAGTTTTTATGCACAGCATATGCATGTGCAATCTGCCACAGCTTTGAATGCCTTCATTCTGTATGCATCACTGTGCTCTGTCACTTACGTGCACATCCACATTGATAGAATACTCTAGAATAGCATTCTAGATGTGATAAGACATAAAATGGTATGAAGACTCTTTCTGTGGTAGTTTATCAATGCAAAGGAGAGATAACATGGAATTTGGAAGGAGTGGAGCAAGATTCAAGATAAATCAATGGAAAAGTAGAATATAATGCAGAAGAAAATCCTCCCATCCCCAATAACTGCTTTTTTCCTAGTTGCATACTCTTCTGTTGCCTAGCCCTTTCCCTTAGGATGTTTGTGGCAACAGATTTCATGACAGTTTAGTATTTTCATGTGTTATTAGCACCAAAATCAATGGGTGTAGGCATAGTTCTGTCCTAAGCCATATCTACACTACAAACTTGACCTCTTTTTTTCAGTCATTCCCACTTCCCAGGGAACCATGGGTATTGTGCTGGGATGTAAGGATCACTAATGGAATTCCTAGCACCATCACCAGTCTACAATCCCTAGGTTTCTTTGGGAGAAGTCATGAAGATGAACTATAAAACCAAGCAAAGTTTGTAATATAGGCATAACTTTGATTTACACTTCTTCTGAGTGTCAGATTAGTGTTAGTGATATAAATGTAGTTCCTGTGCTATAATTTACATCCTTCTGGCCACTGTCAGTGTCTCTTGGTTCCCAGATAACTTTGACTCCTAGCACTTTCAGTGAATTTTCCTGAATGTTCTTTTGGTCTCCCCCCCCCCTTTTTTTTTGCCCTTCAGGTCTTTGGAAACATTGCACTGAATGATGAGACATCCATTAATCGCCACAACAACTTCCAAACATTCTTGCAAGCCCTGATGCTACTTTTTCGGTAAATATGTTCATTATCCTTTCCATCTACAGAGCATTAAGTGGAAGGATTAGGTCCTTCCGGTACCAAATGCATATATGACGGCCTCACACTTTTGATAATAGGCTTGAAAGTGCAAGCAGTACCAGGTGAAATTTTAGAGTCCATCAACAAAGCATTTTAGGTAATCTATGGCTGTAGTAGGTGGATCGGTAAATGTGGCATCAATGGTTGTGGAAATGATCATGAGAAGATTTCCCTGCTCATCACCAGTGACCAAAGCAACCAGTTTAACCTATATTAAGGTGTTCTGGTGCATCGTTGATTGGTCATCTGTATAACTATGCACATAGTCTATGGTTTTCTTTCTACCAAGCAATATCATGGATTACCAAGTGGTAAGGCTTTCTCATATTTTCCAGGTGGTGGGATGGTTATGTGTTTATTAATCTGTGCTTGGTGACGTTAAGCAGGGTAAACATTTCAAGCTATAGAGTTTTGTAGCTATTTATTTATTTATACCAATCCACCTTTCTCCATGGTGACCTTAGTGTTGATCAGGGAAGACAAGCTATTCCTAAAAAGACATCTCTAGCAAATCTGTTACTTGTAAGAGGTACTATTGTATGGTTTTCAACAGTACCTCTTACAACTAACACATAAACTAGAGATTTCTTTTTTAGTTACAGTTAGGGAGAGGCTATGACTCAGTGACAGAGCATCTGCTTGGCATGCAGGAGGTTCCAGGTTCAATCCCTGGCATCTCCAGTTAAAAGGGCCATGGGAGGAGGTGATGTGAAAGACCTCTGCCAGGTGCCCTGGAGAGCCACTGCCAGTCTGAGTAGACAGTACTGACCTTGATGGCCGATAGTCTGTTTCAGTATAGGTCAATTTCATCTGTGTTCATGTGCATTTCCCCCGATTTTTCTGTATAGTTTTCAGATTTCTCAGTGCCAGGTTTTCTTTACATACCTATATAAATGTAAATTCTTGTACCTTTCCTTCATTTTTGGTGTGTGTGTATGTAAAGAAAAATGATAAATCCTAATGTCTGAAATTATATTGTGTGCTGAGGATTTTTGGGGGAGTAGTGTATGTGCTAATAACCTTGTGAATGTTTAGTTAACATTTGATGGAAGATTTTTTTTAAACTGTGCATGTTAAAAGTGCAAATATGCATAATCAATATTTTTAAAAAAGTATAACCACCACCACCACCCAGCTGCTTCTGTGGTTGGTCAACTATTGTATAGAAAACAATTTGCAGAATGTTCATATTGATGATGTACAGGATAGTGTGAATATGGATGTGTATTTATGGTTGCTTCCACAGTAGTTGCTTGCTTTCTTATTTATTTATTTAAAAGATTCCTGTGCCACCTTTCCACCCAAGGTGGTGAATATTAAAATGTTAAAACATTTCAGACATTAAAAACCATTTAAAATGCATATATATATATATAATGTAAAACAAATAAAGCATAATATAAATACATAAATATATTAAAATATAAAAAATATAAAGAGACACAACCTGGGAGGAGGGCTATTAAGAGCTAGTGAGGGAACGCTGTACAAAAGAAAAAGTCGTGGTCTGCTGGTGGAAAGCAACAATAGAGGGAAACAGATGATTCTCTCAGGAGGGTCCCAAAGTTTTTTGAGCCACAACTAAGGAGGCCCTTCCTTGGGTTGCCATATTGAATCTGTTAAGTCACTATTCAGATTATTTGATCAAAAGGGCATACATCTTTAAAATAAAGGAATAAATTATGGGTTTTCTCTTGGCAGCGAAAGCAGTTGCTCATTATTTTTCTTTGCTCTTTTTATTTTTGTAATGATGCAATTGTAATCATGACAAATTAAAGGAAAAATTTAATGAGCAATTGTTTAGGTATCAAAGAGAAAACCAATAATTTAAACCCCCCTCCTTCTCCCAAGCAAACAAGAAATGGCTAAGAACCCATTCAAATATCACCCTATGAAGACTAAAACAAAATGAGTCCCTGACTCATAACAAGAAATAAGGAGTACTACAAAACCAGCCAAGGTTTCCATATCACAGCACTTTAGCACACATTTAGGAAGCAACCAAACTTCCTCCACCTTTTCCCACTTGGTAAATTGGTTGTTCGTACTTTTGTGACACCAGGATGGAACACGTTTATTTGGAATTGGGGATACAGTCTAGCAAAAAATTTCCCTGCACACCCCCTCAAAAAAGAATGAAAGAAGCACTAGATGGAGGGGCAGTAGCTAAGCAATAGACTTGTATCTGCTTGAGACTCTAGAGAGCTCCTGCCAGTCAGGATATACAATGCTAATCTTAGATGGAACAGTGGCTTGATTTGCTAAGTCACTTCCTATGTTAATACACAAGTTTATTTTTATTTATTTAGGCATTTTTTACCCCGCCCTCCCCACTAGCGGCGGGCTCAGGGCGGTTTACAAGCAGTGTTCCCTCTAAGCTGAGTTAGTGTGAGCTAGCTCACAGTTTTTTAGCCTCTGGCTCACACATTTTTGTCTTAGCTCAGGAAAGATGGCTCCAGAGCAAACTACTTTATGCAGTAGCCAAATTGCTGGCTCACAACTTTAATGCCAGTAGCTCACAAAGTAGAATTTCTGCTCACAAGACTCTGCAGCTTAGAGGGAACATTGCTTACAAGGGGCAGCATCTGTCCAGTTCAGTGAGGCTTCAGTGAGTGCAGGAGAACAATGAATTGCGCTCTCGGTCTTTTGTCTTCTGTTTGTGTGTGGTTGGTCTCACTTCTCCCTCCCTAGGAATTGGACAGGTAAACAAATATGGAACATCCTTCAGCTAGAGAGAGGGGGAAACTGAAGGGAAATCCAAGAGGCTCTTAAAACATGTTTTCCTGCCATTTCAACTCACTATAAACTTGAGACACTTCTGCATCTCTGCTAAGTGTAATATTGAGAGAATAGTGTGGGTGTGTCTTATTTTCTCTATCTGCTGGCATTTCAACCTCCATCAAGGCAATATGTTCAGAGTGGGGTCCCCCCCAATTTTTACTACCATGTCTGAAGTGAAACCTGAATGGTCCCTGTATGTTTCCTCCAGGAGGGGTGGGACGGCAAACAGCAGCTCCAGGGACCTGTTACTGGTCAGGAAAACGTCATAGGGAAAATGGATCAAATCCCACTCTCCCTGCATCTTAGCCCCAATTTGCACATTCCCACAGTGGCTGCTATTTACACTGTAGCCCTTAGTTTTCTGTGCTTTAAAAACACCTTCTGCAATTTAACCCCTCTTGATAAGGCAGTGTCACAAGCATCCTTTGCCCATAGGTGCAGCATTGTTGGTGTTGTGGTTGAATACCTCGGCTATGAACTGGTACAGCAACAAACTCATTTAAGAGGTTTGCTCAAGTCATTCAACCCCTGCATCTACAGGATGAGAAGAATAGTATTGGTGTCTGTATTGGGGAATTACTAACCCCTGACAAGTGGCTGCTACAGTCCATAGAGGTGGTTACCAAGAGGGTGACTTAGAAAAGCCTCTCCAGCTGGTCATCAGCCATAGAAGAGAGCTGGACAGCCCTGTGGCTTTTAGGAAGGGGAATGCCCAAAGTCTTGCATGGGCCAGAAATTTTGAAAGAGTTCAAGGGGCTCCATGGGGCCTGCACAGCATGTTATACCCTGTATAAAAGCAGTGGGAGTCCAGTCTATGCAGAAGATCAATTGTCCATTCTAAACTGTTCCAACAGGAGGAGGAGGAGGAGGAGGAGGAGGAGGAATTGGGTTCTATAAACCCCTCTCCCCTTCTGAGCTGAGGCCATGGAGCAGGCCAAGGACACACTCAGGGGGCCTTGAACTCAGCCAGAGAGAGGGGCAGCCACTGAAGCAGTAACTCCCCTGATAGCTGGTCCACCATACAGGGTTGTTGTAAGGTGTACCGAAATTAATCACGTGTAGTGCTCTTAGAATATGCATTCTGTAAATACTATTCAGATTAATAACTATTATTTACATAGTGCCCTCAGTGTGTGATGCTTTACAAAATATGTAAAGAGACAAGTCTCTGCCCTGAGGAATTTACAATCTGGAATTTATAGCAAGGAAGAGAGATGCAGCTGGAAATGAAACGGTGGAAGAATATATTACATATATTTAGGTTTCGTTTCAGTAAGGGAAAGGATCATAAAAAAGGTTCTGTGTGTGTGTGTGTGTGTGTGTGTGTTAAGTGCCATCAAGTCACTTCCTCTGTTAATGACCTGCACAATGTCCTGTCATTAACAGCCATTCTCAGTTCTTGCAATAGGCTTCCCAAGTCCCCCCGGGGGGGGGGAACCCCGCCACAGAGGCCCGATCGGGCCCCGGGGGGGAACTGCACCCTGATGTGCACGTCACCTGGAAGTGACACGACCACGGCGGGCACGCTGGGGGCGGGGCCATGGTCATCCGAGGGAAAACTCCAGCGTGCCCGACGTCCTAATGTCACTTCCACTGCCACGGCCCCCCGCCACGGCGATTTTTCAACTTGGCAACCCTATCTTGCAAACTGAGGGCTGTGGCTTCCTTGACGGAGTCAATCCATCTCACGTTGGGTCTAATAAGGGTTCTAGCAGCTGTGAAACCTGCAGACAAGGCACAGCTTTGCCTCTCTGTTTTTTTTATGACTGGCCCGCAGGTTATAAATGAAACTAATCCGGATAAACAAATTCAAGAGTCAAGAAACTTTTGATTGCCAATCAAAGCAATGGATGAAATTAAGCAAACCTTAAATGCTGATGAATAAGAATGTCTACATACCTACCTGGAGGGAAGTGTTATTACCATAATCTATTCTCATGCTTAATTTATGTTAACGAACCCCAAGGTCAGCCATGACTCCGTGGCCCCCTGCCCTCCTCCGAGGCATAAATGAATACAGAGTAATTGTTTGCATGGCTCTGTTCAGCCAGCTTTTGCCCATTAAGACTTAACTCTGACACTAACAGCCATTAATCCCTAGTTACTGTTGATTAACATAAATATTTTATATGCACAAAACTTAAATTTAATTGGGTCCTTTATTTTCCATAAAGAGATTAGGTTAATCTTATGCTAATTTGTGTGGCGTATTTTTGGTCCTGATACGACATGAGTCTTGGATCTCTTTGACACAACGCTGGTGAGAAATCAGACAAACCATATGGTGGCGAAGGCTGTTTGTATCTTGTGTCCTCATTATTATCTGCTCAAGAACTTTAAAAAGACTGGTAAGCCATAGGCTAGGACATAAATATATGGTGAACTTTTAATACGCCGTCTCATGGGAATAGATGGTGCTAATCATTCTCTCTTATTCCCCTGGTTCTTCCTCCGAGGCCTGCAGTTCCCAGGTTTCCTTGGGAAAAGGGAATGAACATTACACCTGAGGCTTACTAATTAGGTGTCTCCAGAGTGCCCGCCCAGGAACCCTTGTGATCAGTTCTTGTGATCACTTTGTGAATACATTCTGCTGCTGCTGTTTGCACCAATGCAAAATCAGGCAGAGCAACCTATCAAATGTAAGTCATTTAAAGTACACGGGTCCAGAAAGGGGTTAATTGACACTCATCAGCAGAGGTGTACCCTTGAAGCCTATTGACTTCAATGGACTTAGAAGGATATAACTCTGCTCAGGGCTATACTGACCACTCACCAGTAAATGCTGCCTCTTCTCCACTCCATGAGATTATTTAGTTCTTATACTGGGTGAAAGCAGCCTCAAGCTGCAACAGACAAGGGGCTGCTGTGCAGGTGTAAAGCTGTTCAGTGTGGTGCTGTGCTCGAGACAAATTCTGCCAGGGGACATCAAGGCAATCCTTTTAGGAGCTTGCCTTGAATATAATTGATGAAAATCAAATGAGGTATGTTCACCTGGTGAATGTGTTCACCACAACATTCTCAGCCTATCTCATCTCCACACATCTTGGTACTATCTACTAAGGGAAATCTAAGGACATAAGGCATTGTTTTAATTAGACATTACGAGAAAGACAGAGGTCAGCAGCAGCAATTCATATTTCCCATGTCTCAAAGCCTCAACAAGGGTCAGGCTTCAGGTGGCCAGATTCTGGGACCAGGAGCTATCAGTCCCCTGGCCTGGAGCTGTTGATGAAATCAGGTAAGTGTTGACTCCAAATCAGCACTCAAGAACTTCGGGGGCGGAAGAGGAGTCATAAGTGAGACCAGCCAGGGGTCAAATCCAGGGAAGCAAGTGGAATCCAGATATGGGCAAAAGAGTGGATTGAGGCACAAGCTCATTTGTTACAAGGGCCAGATTTCACATAAATATCACTTTGTCAGGCCAGGCCATTTGTGCCATGAAATGTAACACAAGGTACCGGAGATATAAACTTTATAAAGATGATTTCAGATGCCAAATGGCCATAGCAGGCATGATTGGATTAGGTGTGATATGCAGAGGGACGGAGATATCAGCATTGGTGTGATATACAGAGGCGTGGAGATATCAGCATTGATAATGAGACAGGAAACCTAGGTCTCAGTTTGGTACAGGAGGATTCAGTCCAGGAGGATGCAAAGAATAAATGGAAATAAGTCTGAAGAAGTGAGCAGTGACTCACAAAATCACAAACCCTACCACAATTTTGTTAATCTTTAAAGGTGCTACTGGACTCTTACTCTTTTTACCACTCACACTGGTACAAATTGATCAAATCAGATCATCAAAGGGCCCAATACTTAACAAATATCTCATTTAGCAAACTACGTTCTGCACTAACTTCAATCCGCTTCCAATCAATGCAGTCAGCAATGCTTGAAGGCCGTTATACCAACACGCCTGTTGCCCAGCGTCTCTGCCCGTGTAGAGATCCAGTGCCAGAGGATCTGTGCCATTACCTGTTATTCTGTCCACTCTACCAATCCCCTAGGAAGAAATTTCTAGACTCAATCTTGGCCTCCTTAGGTACTAGAACAGAAACTGAAATTTTTTTAGTTCTACTAGCAGATGTAGAGGCTGAGATTTCATATAAGGTGGCCCTCTTTGCCCTTGCTGCAGAGAAAATTTGGAAGAAAGTAGTAGAAGTACCATAGTTTGATTACTAAAGGAAGTCTGGATAGGAGAGATAGAATTATTATAATGTTTTATTGTGTCCTTAGTTTTTAATTCTTCTGGTTTTAGAAGTTTATATAGATGTTATTGTTATATTGTTCTGTCATTGTAACGGCCTATGGCTAAAGGCACTAAACTGAAACCTGAACCTACTCTTTTTACCACTATTAGAAAACACAACATTCAAAAGCCAGTGGGGGAACATTCTAACCTTCCAGGGCATTTACTTGCTGATCTAAGAGTAGCAGTTCTCTGACAAAGAAATTTCAAACAAAGATTAGAAAGAGAGAATGCTGAATTGCAACTGATCATGAAGCACAAGACAGTGCAAATTCCTGGACTGAATTGAGACCTAGGTTTCTTCTCTCATTACCAATGCCTGCTCTTGTCTTTTGGCATCTGAAGTCACTTCACTGTCTAGGGTATAAGGACAGATGGATTCACATTCCAGCTGAATCTGAAGAAGTGAGCAGAGATTCATAAAAGCTCATGCCCTGCCACAAATTTTGTTAGTCATTAAGGTGCTGCTGTACTCTTCCTTCCTTTCACCAATAAGGAATGCAAGCTGTTCTGTTAGGTTTCTCCCCCCCCCCCCAGAAATGGAAAAGGGGGATCTCTCTAAGTGTCATGGGATGACCTCCCTTCCTTCCTCCCTCTCTCTCTCATACCTGGAATAAAATGTTTTTTGATCTTAAACACAGGACTCTTCCCCCCCATACCTGGAATAAGACGCTTTGGGGCTAAACACAGGACTCTCTTTGACACCCCTGGCCTAGAGCTTTATAGGGTCTGACTAGGAATTGGCCCTGAGGAGCAGCTAACTGGGTGTTTAGGTGGTACTGTCACCTTGGTGGCACCTTTGAAACTTAGAGCTTGGTATGTCAGGTTTACAGTGACCATGGAGTGATCGCTGCTGGGAGCCCTGATTCAGCACACCTGGCACCTTACACATTTTTATGTAAACGCCAAATAGGTCCTCAGAGTTGTAATCCCCACATTGTGGTAAAGCTGAAGGACTCTGCATATTTTGGGAATGTACTTCCTTGAAAGACAACTGGCCCTGCTAACTTTTTTCTTCAATGGGATTGCAGCTTTCAGGGAAACTCTTCTGCCATTACTCATCTTTTCACTGTGGAACTGCCAGAAAGCTTCTGAAAGCCATCACAGGTTCCTAGCACTCTCTGTAATAGAAGCACCCCAGACAGATCCTTGGCCGCTGACAGACTCAAATGAAGGGAATTACTCAGCCTCTCTGGTCCCAGATACCGCCTGAGATATACTCTTTTCTGTTTACAGGAGCGCCACTGGGGAAGCATGGCATGAAATCATGCTGTCATGCCTCAGCAATCAAGCCTGTGACAAGCTCTCCAAACTCAGCAAAAATGAGTGTGGCAGCGACTTTGCCTATTTCTACTTCGTTTCCTTCATCTTCCTCTGTTCCTTTCTGGTAAGTCAGTCTTTCGGCTATGTCCCTTGTGCTCAAATAGGCTCTGCATTCCAGCTCTCCCGCCCCTCCGATAAGGCCTAACCAGACAAAATGCTAGGATTGCAGGTCTCCCCATGGTTTCCTAAATGAAAGTAGCAACCCTGTAATTCAGATGGGCTGTGTGTGGAGAAGAGAGGAAGTTTGATCCTCCCCCCTGCATGGTTTCACTGTGGGAAACTGACCACCCTCTCTCGTTTTTATCAGTAGAAGGGAAAAGACTGCCTTTTCCCATTTAGGACTAAAACAGCGAAATCGATTAGTGAAATCAAATTGGCAGCAGGAAAGGAGAGTTAAATTCATTCTCCCCCTACACTTTAACCCTGATCCAATTTTCCATCACCTTGTCTAGTTAGCTAGTTGCTTGCAGGGCACAGTGTTAAGTTTCTCCCACTCCCATATGAGTGTTTCATTAATCAACCCTTTTTATCTGCCTCTCAGCAAGGTGGTGAATTTGAATCTGGGTTGCACAGATTCAGACTACAAGTTGGAGGCTCCTCCATACTCCCTCACCACCACCAGTGTTCTTGTGTGCAGAGAGCTACCCTGTCATGGAACATGCTAGTTTTCTATGTTTAGATAATATTTCTAGTACAGTGGAGCATTCAGTCATGGGAGCTCCCATTTCCAGGACAGTACAAACACTTGTTTACCACATTTTCCGGCCCTACCAGCAGGGGGCGCAGCCCTACTGCTGGGGGCTGCCTTTGTCTCCATTGAAGGAGGAAGAGGAGACACGTAGCCAGTCAGTTACCTGACTTGCAAGGGGGGCGGAGCCGGATCCGCCCCCGGTCAACCAGTTCTAAACATAGAAAACTAGCATGGGACATGCTAGTTTTCTATGTTTAGAGAATATTTCTAGTATGGTGGAGCATTCAGTCATGGGAGCTCCCATTTCCAGGACAGTACAAACACTCGTTTACCACATTTTGAAGAATGCCCCTTTGCCTGGAGGGTGATAGAAGTTGGAGAGAGAGAGAGCTTTTTCACAGAGAATTGCAGGTGGTATTATTGAGGCATTGTTTCCCATTGCAAGCACTTATTCTGCTATTGTCCCTAGCAAACAGCTCTTTAAGATTTACCAAGCAGCTCAAGAAGCCCCAAAAGCTGAGTTTGCAGCATATCTGCATTATAAACTGCTGAGCTGTTGGTATCTTAAACCACTCTGACTGAGTAGAATACATTAAAATGGAGAAGGTAAATGTTGGCGGTAGGCAATAGCATCCGTGAACGTTTGCCATTTATGGTGGTTTCATAAATCTCTTAACTGCTGTGGAAATCCTAGAAGCCTTTTTCTGAGTTCTCATCTAACAGAATGGATTCAGGTAACTACAGAAATGTCCAAAATAATAGAATATGTGCAGATTAGAGAAAAGAAAAAGAAAAAGATTGCCTCAGATTGGTTCCTATGTATAAATTTATGAAGTTTGCTGGGTGGTGCTAATGGATGCATCTAGCTTAGCATTGTCTGCATTGAATGGCAGCAGCTCTTCAGAGCCTTTTCCAGCACTTGCTACTTGAGATCTCTTTAACTGGTGACACCAGAAATTGAACCCTGGACCTTCTGCATGCAGTGCATATGTTCTACCACTGCTGTTGGCCTCCCCAACACTGTATCAAGTTGTCTCCCAAGTCAGACCATTGGTTTCTTTAATTTAGCATTGTGTACTCTGGCTGGTAGCAGCAGTCCGAGGACAGAGGTCCTACCTGAGATCTTTTTTTTTTTTTGGGGGGGGGGGGGGAGTTATAGCAGGGACCAAATGCAGAACTTTCTGTATGCAAAGCATGTAGTCTACCACTGAACAACAGCCTGTGGGCCCTCCTGCAGCATTTAATCTTAGATTTGCAGTTATTAATTAGATTACTTTATGGCTAGGTCTTTCTTGATGTATCGTTTAATTTACTGAACTTTTTTGCTTTTGTATAACTTGTAAGGGAACTAAGTAACCTGGGAAAGCTGTTTGGCTGAGATAAACATATTGTCGTAAACTGCCCAGAAAGCTTTGACTATGGGCAGTATAGAAATTTAATAAAGAAATTAATTAATAATAACAACAACAACGGGATGAACAGAAAAATGGGTATACATTATGGGAAATTGTGTTTTTCTTTATCATAACATTTCCAGTTCCCTTCAAAACCATTGCCTGTTTCTTTCCAGAAACAAAATAAAACAAAACTCTGAATCCCCCAGTACAGTGACCAGATCAACATAAAAGTGTTATTTTAAAAAGCTCTTCTCCCTTGGGGAGATCTTACTTTAAGGGGGAATACCAATCTGTTTTAGCCTGCCTAATATGTGAAGATGAACAGCTGAGCAGACGGACAGCAGTGCTACATACAAGAAGAGGTTTTGGTAAATCTAGCAGGGCCAAGTCACTACTGCGGGGTTTGTGAACGCCTCTAATTTATCCTCCACACTTGTTGTGATCTTGGCTGTTTTTTTTTTTAAAGCCTGTCCTGTGCAGATTGCTCTCTTCCTCCAAATGGATTGATCCCAAGCAATTCTTAAGTTTGGTGGTTCACAGAAGGTCCATGTGGCTCAGCTGCCATGTTAATGTTAGGCTTCCAGAGACTGCCAAAACGCCCCCCCCCCCAGTTTGTTCACTAAAGCATTAAAGGGGGAAATGTTTTCAAAGCCTCAGACTTCCCATCCCACTGTCTCTCTCTCTCTTTACATCTCATGTCAATTTCATTCCGCGCTGATGATCCCCCTTTTTTTGTTTGCATGCAGAACTGAAATCTTTTTTTTCCCCTTTTTTCTTTTTGTGCTGGGGATGTTACCATTTGCCTCATCTCTGATTCCCCTTTTCAAGTCAATACCGGCAGGGAACTAAAACTCACACAGCTCCTTTTAAACATCTCCCCATCATTTAAATTTTTTATTCAGTGATCCGAGACCAACGGTAGTGTCATATCACTAGATTCATGCTGCTTGTCAAAAAAAAATTAAAAAATTAAAAAAACAAGAGAGAAATGGAGCTTGTACACCGATGAAGGGGGGAGGATGGCATAAGGTGCAGAGTGGGCAAAATGGCCTTTATGCGGGTGGGGAGTAACCTTTGAGGGGTGGCAAAAGGGCAGGGGGGAATCTGAGGGAATCTATATGCTTTTGAATTATCTTCAAGCTTTAGGGTTGCCAAATCTGGGTTGGAAAATACCGGGAGACTTTGGGGGTGGAGCCAGGAGAGGGCGTGGTTTGGGGAGGGGAGGGGCCTCAGCATAGTACAACATCATGGACTCCACCCTTCAAATCAGCCATTTTCTCCAGGGGAGCTGATCTCTGTCGGCTGGGGATCAGTGGTAAAAGCGGGAGATCCCCAGGCCCCACCTGGAGGCTGGCAACCCTATCAAGTTTGGAAGTGAAACAAGGGGGAAATTGGCACAAAAGCACTCTCAGCAAACCCGTAGAAACAGTGACCAGAAAGTAAACTGTGCGCTGAAGGGAGGAAAATCAATGCAGAGCGACAAAGAAAACCTGACAGACATGCACAGTGAAGATGAGGGGAAAGCACCCATGCATAATAGGCCGATGTGTGCATGCAGACAAAAATGCACCACCTCCCAGCCTGACAATACTAAGAGACTCTTTGCTGTAGCAAAATAGCATACCAGGCACTGGCATATCTTTAGCCTGGTCACTGCTGCCACCTCTTCACCCCCTGTACTGAAGAATGAAATATCCTGCATCCTTTTGTTAGAAGTAGGAGGAGGTTATACGATCTGAGGCATTAAGCTGCAGGGGACTTTATTTTCCCCACCCATTGCCTGACGTGCACTTGCAGCGCTGGTATCTTCTCCTGTAGCTGGGAACAAAAGCACCCTGCAGCCAATGGTCTACAAGAGAATGGATGCAACACAGCATCCCACCTCAGGCAACTGGCCATGGGGCACTTTGTTCCCCAGCAAAAGGAGGGGGCGACAACTAGGGTGGCTAGTCAGTAAAGAGAAGCACAGTGAAATACCAGCATTTGATCTGTTGGTCTGCTGCAGCTGCACATCCATATAGGGGCCCTGTAATGCTATGAATTGCTCTTTTCAAATTTGATCTGCATGTACCAAATCAGAGGGGTCTGTGGGCCAGCTGAGAACAGGAAAACTACTGGTTACCTCAATGTGGAACAACTGGCTAAAGGTTCTAGTATGCACCATTTACTCCTCCTCCTCCTCCTCCTCCTCCTTTTGCTACCATTTTGAAATTTGCATCTACTCATTAAGCATAAACGTTTATGTTTCTCCCTCCTTCCCACCCCAATCTCATCTCCCTTCCCCTTGCAGATGTTGAACCTGTTTGTGGCTGTAATCATGGACAACTTTGAGTACTTGACACGAGACTCTTCCATCCTAGGACCTCACCATCTCGATGAGTTCATTCGGGTTTGGGCAGAGTATGACCCCGCTGCCAGGTATGTATCCTTACATATACTTCTTACTCTTGCAAAGTAGCATTTGGGTAGATAGGTCTGTTTTCATAAGATGGCTACTTCACAGCTGAGGGACTCGATTCAAACAACCTGTAGAAACCAGTTCACCTGGTGTTCATGTCATCACCTTGGATCTTTCTACCCATTGGCATGTACTGCTCTTAGGGACTTGAAAAGCCATTTCAGGAGTAATTACCATGCAGTGAAGGAACTGCCTTCCATCAGATTATCCTGTACTGGCAGGGATCACTAGAGGAGTGAACATGCCAAATTCTTACACCACTAGAGAGATTTGCCAATCAGAAGTCATGACTCAGGAATTTCCTTTGGGCCAGTCTGGAGACAAAAGAAAAAGAGAACAAAGTAGTGATGTTTAAGAAAAGGTGGTTATGACATCTGGAAATGCAATTCAATACATTTTTGCCTTTCATTTCCCCAGTGTGCCAGAGACAAAAAATGCCGCCGCCCCTCTCCTTCCCTTCTCCCTGGTCATCAGTAATAATTCAATGTAATATCTGATGCTAAGCACTATAGTAATAATTCAATGTAATATCTGATGCTAAGTAATAATTCAATGTAATATCTGATGCTAAGCACTATAGGCTGAATCAAGTTAATATACAAGACAGGCCTTTTTATTAACTGGGGGCATCCCTTGCTGTTTTAATTATGCCATCTCCCCATTCTTTATATTTGCCTTTTTAAAAATTACATGTGTACTTTTCCTGCTTGAGACTTTTTGTTGAGGGTTTTGTCGGGTGTTTTTCAATTGTCTTGCAACTCTTATGAGAAATGGGATTGTTATTAAGCCTGCAAGGAAAGTTGATTTTCTTTCATGTGACAGCATAAAAACAAAAATGGGTAAGGTTGGTTCCCATTAGGAAGCTACTGAGGGCCAAACTAGACGTTATGGCATCCATAGCTTGGACCTGTGGATGTCAATGCTGTTTTACAGCTGAAATTGGCCACCATAAACATTGTGGGGGGGGGCAGAGTTACCTGGTCATGTTGCACTACAGGCCCAAACAGGACTGAGCACTTGCAGCATTTGTAAAAGGCCACGTTCAGCTCCAAAATGGTGTCAGCATCCACAGATCACACCCATGGGTGCTGTAACATCTAGTTTGGCCCTGACTCCTTCAGATCTTGGATAATTAATTTTGGGTGAAGACAGGTAACATAAAGAGAGAACTGTGGGGGAGCAAGCAGTAAGATGGACAGCAAAGTTGCAGCAGGCTCTTCCTTTGGAATGACAGCTTGCCTCCTCCCATCTTCACAAAGGGCATGACAGATGTGTCCAATACTACTCTAACCATCAAATTTGCCCCCCCCCCCCATGCTTCAAGCATTTCTTTTAAACACCATGCTCACACTTACCCATTTATGCACTGGTCATTGCCAGATATATTTTTTTTAGAATTCTTTTTTTAAAATCAGTGTTGTGCCCAGCTGGATTCTGCAGCAAGCTCGCAGAGTCATTTTCCCCTTGGAGCACAACTGTGGAAATGAAATGAGATTTTTGTACTGAATATGGTGGGGTTTCACCATTCTGGAAAGGTTGTATCTTTGATGCTGCTTCAAGACAGTCTGAGCAGTACCAACAACAAGCAAAGAATAGTAATTTAATCTTAGGGCATATTCCTTTTCCACGACAGCTCAAAGATGTTTTCCCCTCCTCTCTCTGGACTGTGGCTGATGTTCTGTTGGAAATGGGAGGACCCTGAAACAAATGTGGCTCTTAACCTTCCCCCCCCCCCTTCTGTTTCATGTCTTCAGGGGGATGGCGGAGTGAGGCTCCAGAAAGGGGCTGTGTCTTTGAGTCACTTTTTGTCACAACTTACCGATTTTTCCTTTCCAGTTGCCGGATTCATTATAAGGATATGTACAATTTATTACGAGCTATTGCTCCACCTCTGGGCTTAGGAAAGAAGTGTCCACATAGGGTGGCATACAAGGTTTGGAATTTTAGAAAACCCCATCCAGTATTACTTTTTCTTTTGCCTTGCTTTTGAACTTCTATTTTTGTATCTGAACTGCAAAGGCAAAGAAAAAACACCAAGAGTAAACTGGAATGTAACTAACCCATTGCCTGAACAGGAATGATTGACAGGCATCGCCCCACCCTGTGTTCCCATTCCCCATGATGCATCTCTGCTCCTGCACACCTGTATCCCACTTACCTGAACACTGGCAGCCTTATGAGACAGTCAGCTTCAACATGTTCACCCCTCCTGGCCAGGAGTGGAGAAACTAGGAAGCCATTCTCTCTGCCTCTTCCCTATTTATATGTACTTAAATTTGGTCCCAGAGTCTTGGGATGGGGGGAAACCCTCCCAAAAAGGAATTTAAATATCCCCCCTTTTTGCTGGCTTGTTAGAGGAAGGCAAATTTAGGAAATATTCATATCATTCAATAGAGTTCCTTAAATATATACCAGTTTTCATACCTTCCAAACATTTTGTAGCTGAAAATGGGGACATGCTAACATTCCTACTGGTATACCAAGGATCTCTGCCAAAATTGCACAGTGCTGAAGACTGTACTGTATCTGCTGAATTCAGTTACTCTGGAATGGCTTGTGATTAAGGAGCTGAGAAAGTGTAGACTGAAAGCTATACAGGGGAAAAACATAATTGTTTCAGAAGAGGTTATCAACAGTTCAAAATATACTTCAACAACATCCGTTTGTCTTGTGGAAGGCACTGCACTGTGTGATGCCTTAGAGTTCAGGCAGATTCAGTTATGTAGGGTTAGGGACAAGATGCACTCTTTGCTAACTCTTTGGTTGGTGGGGCAGGGACAGGGCTCTGGGGCAAGGGAGTGGGGAGCAGGGAACTTCATTTAGATTACTACTCAGTTCTTAATCTAATTATCTGGACTCTGATTACCAATCTGATTAAGTAATAATAGCGCTCGTTCACCTCACACTTTCTCGTTACAGGAGAAGAGCTGGCCGGTGTGCTCTCCACCCTGCAGCAGAGAGCGCATATGGCCGACCAGGCACCAGGGCAGCAGGCGAGCAGGCAAGCAAGGAGGCTGCTGCCTCTCTTCAGTGCACCTGCACCAGGGGAGAGTCATGTGACCCGTGGTGGCTCAGTGACGTGACTTGGTCACATGACTCCTCCCCGGCGCAGGTGCACTGAAGAGAGGCCTGGCGCAGGCACACTGCAGAGAGGCAGCCTGCCTGATTCACCTGCTCCTGAGCCCCCCACCCATTCGCTCACCTGCTGTCCTGGCGCCTGGCTTGCGGGCAGAGAACCGGCCGGTATGCGCTCTCTTCTGCAGAGTGGAGAGTGCACCAGCTGGTTCTCCTCTTGTAGCAACAAAGTGAGAGGTGAACGAGCACGGTGGGTGCTCCTGCACGAGCTGGCCTTGAAGGTGAGCAAGGACCCTTTGGGGGCAGGGGCAGGGTGGTGGGCATTGATCATGACTGAGGGGGCTTGGCCCCATCGTGCCCCACCATAGCTATGGGCCACTGCTAGAGACATGGAGAGGGCTGAAACTTGAAGGAAGGCAACTCTCGTGTGTCTCATTAACAAAATTTCAATCAGGTATTGCCCAAAGGCAAAACAGAGACAAAACTGGAAACAGAGAATAGGTACAGCTCCCAGTAAATAGGGGTAGTTAAAGCATATTCAACTTCCTACTTTTTTTGGACTCATGAAAAACTAGAAACCTATGTCCACCATCTGCACTGGGTTACCTAGAAAAAATGTATTTCTACGGGGTATAAAGAAATCCATAAGATCTCCATCAACGGTGAAGGGATTCATCACTGGAAAATGTTTTTTTCTCTTTCCCCTCCCTGGTAGTGTTCGCTTTCCTTTATACTTTCTTGCCTCCCAGCCAGCAGGTGAAGTAGCTGAGAGACTACTTTGTTGGGGGGAAAAGAAAGTTTCTTTATACTATTTAAAATATATATATATAAGTTTACTGAAAAGCCTTTGGTGGCTCTTAGACTAAACTTGGTAGAATGAATACACTTTGGGCATATTTGAACAATGTTGGGCCATATACGTGGGAAAGGAAGGGAAAGTGGAGAACCTGGTGTGTTTGCCCCCCTTCCAGCTTGAGTCAGTATCTACACAGTGGTATAATGTCCAAATCTGGTCAAACCCTCTACATGTAGACTTTGTATATATGTGCAGTTATTCCCTGAATTCAACCTTGTATATTGCTTATATGCTTGAGATTTGGCTGGATCTGCACATCGCACCACTGCATGGGTGGATGCTCACATTGTGGTGGGCAGAGAGGAAGGGTGCACTCCCCATTCCAAGTCATATTAACTGTCCAGGATAAGGGAGTCCACCACCACAGCAGCACAGGATAGGACTCACAATAACGGGTTTAAATTAAGGGCAGGAAGGTACAGCTGGATATTAGGAAAAACTTTTTGTCAATCAGAGTTGTGCAACAGTGGAATCAGCTGCCTAGGGAGGTGGTGAGCTCCCCCTCCCTGGCAGTCTTTAAACAGCGGCTGGACAAACACTTGTCAGGGATGCTCTAGGCTGATCCTGCACTGAGCAGGGGGTTGGACTAGATGGCCTGTATGGCCCCTTCCAACTCTGTGATTCTGTTATTCTAGTTACCAAGGCCAACAGACAGGGGAGCAACTACCTGCCACCCATTGGGTCCAGCAATGTCGTTCCTCTGCTAAGACACCCCAGGGAGAACCTGGCAGGCCCCAGAGCATCAACAATGTTGGAAAGGCCAGCAGAATCAGTTAAAGTCCAAGGAGGACACGCCAGGGAGCTCTCTGCTGGGCTCATAGTGGGAGAAAAAGGACACCGTGTGAGTTTAACCCCCTTCTCTTCCAGTACTGAAGCTCCAAAGACCTTCTACAAAGGACACTGGAAGGTGCCCAAGTTCCAACAGCCCGAGCTCCTGACATGAACATATGAAGCTGCTTTATATTATATCAGGCCATTGTTCTACCTACCTTGGTATTATCTACTCAGACTAGTAGCAGCTGCCCAAAATCTCCGATTGGGAGTTCTGAATACCAGCTATTTGAGATCCCTTAACTGGAGATCGCAGGAATTGAACATGGGGCCTTCTGCATGCAGAGCAAGTGCTCTTCCATTAAGCCACTGTAAAACGGGGAATTTTTTTAAAGCTTAGTTTAGCTTTTAATCTGAGCTCACTGGTGCTTATTCACACATTTGTTTTTCTTTTTACAATTTATAAGCTTCCTACTGAAGAAAAAATAATGGCAATTCACAATGATGAGTAAGAAAACATTTCAAGAAAGTGCAGCTCAAACCCACTACAAAGCTATAAACAGCAAGCTAAAATTAGCCGCAGGAAACATCTGCCATCCAATTGGCTGCAAAGTTGGGTTTTGGCTAGGGCTGCCACATCTCCAAGATTGACGGGAGACATCCCACCACCAGCCCTCTTCCCCCGCTGCCACTCAATGGGCGGGGAGGGGGAATGGGAGGAAATCGCTGTCACTGGCAGCCCAGTAATGTCACTTGTAGCTTGCCCAAGAAGTGACCACACCAATAAGGCTAGTGGTGTAACTTCTGGGTCACACTGGAAATTATGCTGCCAGTGATATCACTGTGTTGCCAGAAAAGCCCCCCTCCCCAGCGCTGGTAGGTCTCCTACTGCAACTCTGATGTGGGCGTGCCACTGTTAGAGGCACAGCATCACTACTGAGAAGGTCATGCCAATGACCTCTTTTTTACACTTAATCTCTAGGACCTTAGCTTCCATGCTTGACTGTGTCCTAATACATGTGAAGCAATACAATAATAATACTACTAAGAAGAAGCAGGCATGTTTCTGAGCACATGCAGAGAGCCTGTGCTTTACTACTTGAGTAATCACGGACAGCCAACATGTCCCTGCTCTTTCAGGTCACGCAGGCTTGTGGTCTCTCCACATGGAAGTGAAAAGGGGGGATTGTCTTCCTTTGGCTTTGTGTTTTGTGGCCTTTTAGATAAATTGGAAGTGACAATCGGAATAAAGGGTAAAAGGGTAAAAACATTTTATTCAAGTCACTGCTGGCTGCCCCATAATGCTCCCCACCAGTTCTCCTTGGCATGGTGAATATAACCACTTTCCCAAAAAAACCCCAAAAGCCTGTCTGAAAAATGCAGAAGCTCCCCCTCCTCCCCCTGCCTCTTTCATAGGTTCACCCTTCCTGTCCCTGTGTCCAACATCAATCATTCCGGACTGCTACCGCAGGGATTCAGAAGTCGCTTTATATCGGTGAGCAGGTGGAAGGAGATACCCAAAGAGATGAAATTGGAGCAATCTTCTGCTTAACCCTCTCTCTTTGATTGTTTCGTTTCTCCTCCCTGAAAGCAAGCCAACAACAAAAAAAGAGAAAATAATCGAATTAACCCAAATTTCTCTCTTCTTGTCTGCTTTCCCTTTATCCCTGGTTTCCCCTTTATTGTTGCTTGGTTTTATTTTTTTCTTCTCCCTGCCTTAATCCCTCCCCACCGCCACCTTTGCTTTTCTTTCTCTCTCTCCCTCCGGTTCCAAGTGGGCGCATCAGTTACACGGACATGTATGAAATGCTGAGACACATGTCCCCACCACTTGGTCTGGGAAAGAAATGCCCAGCTCGTGTTGCCTATAAGGTTAGACCTCCTCCTGGGATGACCCGTGATATCCGTGTGTTGTGGCTAAGCTGACTGTCCTCTTTTCCTGTCATATTTGTGGTTTCTCTAAGCTCTTTGGGATGCTGTATCTTCTAGTTCATGGGGTGTCAAAAACATATGGCCAAGGACCTGATGCAGTCCGCCAAGGATTCCCAGGCTGGCCTCTTGCAGCAATGCGGCCACTTCAGTTTGGTCTCTCCTGTAATAAAGTGTGGTGACTGGGGTCCCTTTTCTACCACTCAGTGGGATCCAACATTACTTGCAAAGATTGCACAGCTGCAATTCTTTTAAAATGGGGAACTACGGCCTCTTGAGAGGAGAATCAGTAGAGATGAGGG